CCGGCGCGGCGCGGGGCTGGCACGACCGGGGTGAGTGCTGCGGCGCAAGCGGTGGGCGCCCCGGCCTGGGCCCCGCAGTCCGCGCTGCCGTCCGCGATCCGGGGTGCGCACCGGCCTGCGCTCCGGCCTCCAGTCCACCGGCGTGGAAGGTGACCGCTGCACAGCGAGAAATCACCCCCGGGGATGGCCGCGCGGCAATCCCTCCATTCTCCCCTCGGGATCTTGGGCACGCACGCACACGCGCCCGGTGTGAGTTTAAGCCACCGGGTCCGGGACTCGAACCGCGGTCCCCTACATGGGAGTCCAGCGACATAGCCATTACGCCAACTGCTGGTCCCTGTTTGGACTTTTTAAAACCTCTTCGTTAATGCGATATTTATAATTTATCTAATAGATGAGTATTTTGAGGTGGTTTTTAAGGTTTTTGCCATAGACTGTGTGTGCTCACTGGAAAGAGACAGAGAAAGTAAGAAATCTCACCCCCCATGACCACCACATGGTCCTGATCCATTCTCCTCTTGGGATTCAAGGCTCACATGCATGCACATGAACCTGCGTGATTGTCAAACTGCCAAGTCGAGGGCTCAAACTGTAGTGAGCCGTTTGGGATCCAGTGCCTCAAGTGCCACGTAGCTGCTGGCCCGGTGTTTTAAATGTGTTTAATTGCAGAACACATAAAACACTTAAGCATATACACGTGCGCAGCTGTACTACCGAGTCTCTCTGGTTCTTCACAGTTTACGTGTTGACCACATGTGCCCTTTTCTGCCGTAGTGAAACAGCAGGGGCCGGGCTGAGGGCTCTTGCTCCCGTGATCCTGGGGTGTTCGCCAGGCCGTGCATGCACACTGCGGGTGTGTGCACATGTAGACAGGAACGGTGCATAGTGCTGTTATCTCCCAAGGTTTCCATAAGACTGTCGGACCAAACATCTTCTGTGACTTGAATTTTGCTTATAATATTTTTACAAACATTTATCTACTTTGATACATGAGATCTAATTCATTAATTTTAACTGCTGTAGAATATTACATTGTAGTTTTAGGTCAGAATTTATTAATCTGTTTACCTGTTAATGAATGTTTAAATCATTAAATATTTCAGGTGTGTGGTGATATTTTTGGCCATTTTAATTACCCATTAATATTCTTTTACAGGAGTATAATGTTTTAGGTTAATAAACTCTTTCTTTTTTTGACTTAGCAACAATTATGTATTATAGAACTTGTGCTGTAGAAGCGTAGCCTGAAGGGGGCTGAGGTCTCAAAGGTGGAGCTGTGTGAGCGGCCAGTGCTCCGTTCGGGTGTTCCTTCAGTGTGACGAGGTGCTCACCGTGTCCTTGTGCTCTCACTGCAGGCAGGATGCTCCTGCGGGATGTGAAGGCCCTCACCCTCCACGCTGGCCGCTACACCGCCTCCCGCAGGCTGGACCCCGTCCCACAGCTGAAGTGTGTGGGAGGCACAGCCCGCTGTGATTCTCACACGCCCACAGTCGTCCAGTGTCACAACAGAGGCTGGGATGGTTACGACGTGCAGGTAACAGCGACGTCGCTGGCAGGCCGACAGAATTTTATGCAGTCAATGGTTTATTGGGACAGTATTCAGTTTTTGGGAGGCATGTGCAAAAGCTCAGGTCACCCTGGAGTGTCTGGAAAATCCAGCCACTTCTCTGGAGACGAAGCGTCCTTCCAGAGGGACACCTCTGCGCTAGACCTGGAAGTGCACATTCGTCGCAGCATTTGTGCTGTGGCCGCCTCCTAAGATCCCAGTCGTTTTCAAGGGTGTATGTGCTCAAGGGCGGGGATAGGTGATGTCCTCCGGTTGTCGTTTTCAGCCTTTCCTCAGAGATGGGTGACCTACCCTTCAGAAGTGAAGTGAGGTAATCTGGAGTTACAGGTAGAGTAGCTATGGTAGGTGCCCTTGTGTTCCAACATTCACAGGTTTTGTTTTTTTTCCTGAGATTTTTCCTATAAGGGTACGTGTGCTCACTGGAAAGACAGAGAGACAGAAAGCAAGACATCACCCTCAAAGAGGGATGGCCACGCTGCAGTCCCTTCTCCTCTGTTCTCCTCTTGATATTTCAGGCACACGTGCACACGTTCCTGGAATGAGTTTTAAGTCACCGGGTCCGGGACTTGAACTGTGATTGACTATGTGAGAGTCCAGCAACATAGCCATTGTGCCATCTGCTGGTCCCCGAAGGTAGCTGCATATGCACACAGGGTGGATTCATCTGCTGCTTTGTTACGTGGGCATTTTCTCTGCGGGACAGAGCGTACCTTGAAGTCTTCAGAGGTGAAAGGCTTTGTTAGATTTCAGTTTACACTACTGCTCACGTATTTCTTTTTTACTTTTTATTTATTTATTTATTTATTTAATACGTTTGATCACATTGTTTAGCTTACAAAGTGAACATTTCAATATGTGAACATTTCTCGCCAGTCCAGTTGATCAAAATATCTTCAACAGATAACGCCACACCTCCCCATCCCGTCAACGCTCTGCCTCCGTATCCCTCCTCCAAATGTCCTTCCCTAGCCCCCCTCCTCCACTCACACCACATCTGGCATCCACCCCCATCTCTCGTGTTTGTACACCCTTTAGTCAGTTTCAGTCATAGAGTGCGGACACTCGGTATGTACTAAGTGGGGACGAACAGTGTCTCTCCCTCATAGCCTGGCTGACTTCACTCGCTGCTCACATGTTGCTGCTTCACATTCGGTCTGCTCTCTACGAGAATTAGAGCTAGCTGGTCAGTAAACAAGGAACTTGAGATGCTGATCTCCCCTTTCGTTAGGACCATGTTCTTGTTTGACATGATGCCTGTGATCTGTGTGGTCTCGAGAACTCGTCTTTACCGGATGGTACTTCACAGTGTTTTTTCCCAAATTGAGTCATAGAATATCCAGGGTAAAGCAGAAGTCTTGGGCCAGCCTGTGGGATTGTGGTTAAGGTAGCTGGATCCCTCATGGCTGGCTGCAAGGTTTGAATCCTGGATCTGACAGCTTGAGAAACAAGCTGGGCATGTATGTGTGCCCAAAATCCCAAAAGGAGGGAGAGAGGAGGAATCGGGACTGCGGCATGAACATCGTCCATGGGAGGGGGTTTCTCATCTCTCTCTCTCTCTCTCTCTCTCTCTCTGTCTCTTTCATAAGCACATGTGCCCTCTGGCTAAAGTAAAAATACAAAAGCCAAAGTCTCACTCTCACCTACTTTTGAATTATGTTTATGGTCTTGATGAAAAGGAAGACAGCCAGGGGCAGTTACTCGGTAAACGTGAAGCAGACTTGTGAGAATGAATCGGATGGACTCGAGGAACCTCCCTAGTAGAAGAGAGAAGACAGAGTCGGGTCCATGTAGTGAAGTCAGCAGAGTGGGTAAACACCTGTCTGTCTGAGGAGCTGGAGAATACTCAGGGGAGGGAGTATTTGCACTGTTAGGAAGGAGTGATGAGATTTTTAGAGATGGAGGGATAGACAAGGGAACGGACGAGCAAAGACCTGGAGAGCACAGCACACGGGTGCACGTTGTGGCGGGAGAGCGTGTAACTTACACGTCTACTTGGGCCACTTCTAGCATGTGCCATAAGAGAAGTCGCAGTTAATGTGTAATAGGAATAAAAAGAGGACCTCTCCGTGGCTTGATGCTAAGGCAGCCAGGCCCTACCTGGCCCACTCCACGGTTTGAGTCCAGTCCAGTGGCTTGAGAAACACATGTACATACATGCCACAATCCCAAAAAGAGGGAGAGATGGAGGACAGGGACTGTGGCATGACCATTTCCCCGACAGGTGGAAATGGTCTCCTCTTTCTCTCTGTCTCTGCCTGTCTCTGGTGAACATGTGTACCCTCTAGTCAAAGGGGAAAAAAGAGGAAGAGAGAGAAGAAAGGGAAAAAAAGCATGTTATCTAAATTAAAGGCCTCAGAAGATACCATTGATAAAGTGGAAAGAGCAGCCCACAGAATGGGGAGAAGCTTTGCAGATCATATTTGATGTGGGACTCGTACCAGGATATATAAGGAACTCCGGAGAAGGGCAGGCTGAGTTAAAAATGGGCAAGGCATTGGAGAAGACATTTCTGCAAGGAACGTGTGCCGATGGCAGACATGAAGGAGATGTCCATCATAAGCCATCAGGGACACGCAGGTCCGACCGCAGTGAGGTACCACCCTGCCCTCAGCCGTAATCAGAGCAGGCAACGGCTTGCTGAGGGTGCTGCCAACCTGGAAACCTCGCACACTGCCGTGGGGATGGAAGTGGGGCCGTTCTCGGAGGGCGAAATCCGAGCCTGTCACCCCAGTCCTCCGTGTACACCTGGGAGAACGGGAAGCACGGCCCCTCAGAGAAGCGTTCGTAGTGGCATTATTTACAGCCACACCGCATGCCTGTCACCCCGTCCTCTGTGCACCCAGGAGAACGTTTGTAGCGGCGTTATTTACAACAGCCAAGAAGTGGGAGCAACCCTGCTGTTTCTTAGCGATGAAAGATGAACAAAATGTGGTCTCTCCATGTGACGGGATGTTTTCAGCCTTGGAAAGAAGGGAGTAGAGGTCCATGTGACAACACGGATGTGCCGCAGAGACGTGCTGAGTGGTAAAGGCCACACAGACGAGGCAGCTTGGTGGTAGGGCGGGAAGCCTGGGGGACCAGGAGTCACTGCCAGCAGGTATGAGACATCTCCGGGGGTGCTGAAGGCAGTCTAAAATTGCATGACTGAGAATATATTAAAAGCTACTGAAATGAGTGAATTTTATGGCATGTGAATTATCTCACAGTTGTTAGAAAAAAGTAAAATGGTGAACTTTGAGAGGGAGACCATCTGTACAGAAGCTAATAGTCCACCTGCTGTAGGTTGTACCTCCTTAAAGGCTGCGGAAGCATCGCTCTAGTCGAGGTTGTCAGGAGACAGAGCCTCCGGGATGTGTTCCACACGCGATTTGCCAGGGGAGTCAGCCTGCAGTTGCGGCCACCGAGAGGCCTCTGACAGGCCACCTGCGCTCTGGAGACCTGGGGTCCTGGCAGCGCGGCTTGTCCGAGGAGTAGGACCCGAAGGCAGGGAAGGGGAGAGGCTGGAAGCCTGAGAACCTGGAGGGTCGCTGGTCTAAACGCTGGAGTACGAAGTCAGAGGCAGCAGGGCGAGTCTGCCTCCTAGGAGACCCACTAGGCTTCTTCATCCTCTCCAGGCGCCATTGTCCTTCTCTCTGAAACGCCCACGGACACACCCAGTCACGCGCTCTCATACTCCTTAGTCCCGGTGACACTGAGCCAGCCGTTTCAGAGGGTACGTGCACTCACTGGGGAGACAGCGCCCTGTCCCCGGGGAATGGCCACGCCACAGTCCTTTCTCCCCGTCTGTCCGTGCCATCGGGATCTGAGGCACACACACACTCGTGCCACTGAGGTCGGGCTGAGTGTCAGTTGGCCACGTGGCACTTGGTTCCCTGTGTGCACTGCTTCCCACAGGCTGTGGGCTGTCCACTGAATTGCTGTGTTTTAAGTTGGTCATTTTTGAGGCTGACATGGATTCTTTCTGCACTTTTTCTTTTTTTTTAAGAGAGATTTTTGCTATAGGGCGCATGTGCTCACCAGAGACACAGAAAGCTAGAAATGAGCCCCCGTGGGGATGGCCATGCTTCAGTCGCTTCTCCATTGCCCTCGGGGTTTGCGGCACGCACACACGTCTGGTGTGAGTCTGAAGCTGCTGGATCTAGGTCTCAAACTGCATTTACCATGTGGGAGTCCAGCGACGCAACGGTTACGCCATCTGCGAATGTGTAAAACTTGAGAGAGTTATGTAGACTCGTACCCTAGAAAGTTAGCCTGTGCTCTTACAAAGTTTGTGTAGAAAGCTTTTTCCAGAAGGTTCTGGATACCCAGTGCGCTCCATAGCCATCAGGTCTTCATCTGTGATGCTGATTTTTGAGTCTCAACATCTCAAACAAAAAAAAACCCAAAACTACATTTATAGAAAGCTTCTTAAACAACAGTGGCAGAAAGGATATTTTAAAAATTTGGTTAAATCTTATAAATTATGGGATACCTAACATACAAAAGGGTATGTACCGTGCGCATGTCGGGAGGAAGTGGTCTACAGTGGGCGCTGCGCCTACTGCCAGCCTGGGGAGCAGAGCATGGTCGCCAGCGTCACTCTCACCCTGGTGGGCCTCGGCCAGCACAGTGCTGGGTGTGGGGTCAGGGATGGCCTCGCCCCACTCCCTCTTAGGGCACGGCTGCCCGGGGAGCTCTGGGGCCCTGATGCCCGCCTCTGTCTCTGCAGTGGGAATGCAAGGCTGACCTGGACGTCGCCTACAAGTTTGGAGAGACAGTGGTCAGCTGTGAGGGCTACGAGTCCCCCGAAGACCAGTACGTACTGCGAGGCTCCTGCGGCCTGGAGTACCAGTTGGACTACACGGAGCTCGGCCTGCAGAGGCTGCGGGAGTCCGGCAGACGGCGCGGCTTCGCCTCTGTGTCGGACGCCCACCGCAGGTGGTACTCCACAGACTCCTGTGGCGCCGGGGGCCTGGTCACCATCGCCGTGCTGCTGGCCGTTGCCTTCGTGGTGTACAAGTTGTTCCTGAGAGATGGGGCCGGCTCTCCCCTGCACTCTGAGCACCCCTTTTCCCACTCTTACCCAAGATCCACCAGCTCGGCAGGGCCCCCGCCCCCAGGCTTCAAGTCTGAGTTCACAGGTGGGGCTCCCCGTCTGCGCAGGAAGGGGGTGGCGAGGCCGTGGGGGCCCTGTGCTCTGAGCAGGATGTGGACTGTCACGCGCTGTCTTCACTCCGCCTGTCCCTTGCTTGCTCTGCTCCCCTGTGAGATGTCACGTGCTTGCTATCTTAGGAAGCCTTGTCAGCTGTGAGTCATCTTAGCCAGGAGACCTTGGGTGGTGGCCTGCGTGTGTGGACGTATGTACCGTGCCTGTAGGGTCAGCCCCTCCCCTTGTGTCACCATCAGCTCAGAACACGCTTCCTCTGGTCCCGGGCTGCTTTCCTGGCTGGACCGATGACTGTCACCTCCACCTGGAGGCAGCCTCGGGTGCGGCTCTCCCCTGGGGCTCTCGAGGCCTCAGTACAGAGAGCAGCACCAGGAGCTGTGGTGGGCAGACCCTGCCAGTCCCCCGGTATGCTGCTCTGCGTCTGGGGAGTGCGCTCGGCATAACTCCGGGCCAGTCCGCATGCTGTCGGGACAGCGCGGGGTGGCATGGTGCGGCATGGCGTGGTGCTGTGTGGTGCGGTGTGGTGTGGCTCGGTGTGGGACGGTGCAGTGGCCTTGTTCTTGCAGGCTGCTTCCCGGCCCGTGAAGCTGCGTGGTGTAACGAGCCATTTCTGTTTCAGGCGCAGAGGACACTGGTCTGGGTGGTGCTTTTGCAGGACGACAAGGACATGACCGTTGGGGACCAGGGTTCTGGACCGGCCTGGGCACTGGAGGGATATTAGGGTATTTGCTCGGCAGTAACAGGTAGGCCTTGCTTCTCACCTGCTCTTTAATTCAGCCCACACTAAATGCTGCTTTGTGCCGCTCCCAGTCTCCCTGCGTCTGGTTTTGCTGACATTGCTGTCAAGTCAGGCTCTGGGGTGGCAGGCGCTCGGTCCCCCCTTCGGTCAGCACCGCAGGTGTTTCTCATCTTTCATCCGTCCTTTGTCATTCTCCTGTGCTTGAGCTCCGAGGCAGAGACAGCAGGGAAGAACACGTTCGGGGGGCTTAGTGGTCCGGCGTGCGAGGAGGATGCAAGAACCAGGCTGGACGGGACGGGGCGGGATACCGGGATGCCGCAAGTGTCGGTGGCAGCCCACCCTAGGTCTGACTGAATGTGGAGAACACTCCCCGTTACTCTCTTTTTCTGTAGCGATCACAGTAAAAACGCAGAGATGCAGGACAGGGTATTTCATGTTAACTCTGATAGCAGGAACATTCTAGAAACACTTTTCAGATAGTTTAGGAGCAGAAATGCATCTTACAGTTACAGTTGCAAGGGAGCAGATGGTGGTGCGGTGTGAAGCATGACGCTTGCAGGCTGGCCCCTTGTGGGAGGGTCGCTGGCCTATGCCCGGAGCCCCACAGAGGTGCCGGGCACATGTGAGCCTGGGCCTGGGCTGGGCGGCCAGCGTGCTGTTTGTCTGTCTCTTGCACATGGAGAAACAAGCTTTAGAGTGACCGTCACAGGAGCGGTGTTTCCTGACCTGTCTTTCCAGAGCGGCAGCACCCTCTTCAGACCCGTGGTATGGCCCGGCTCGCCCCCCGTCGTACCCGGCCAGCACGTGGGGAAGTCCTGCCTACTCGCCAGCCCCTGGGGGCTTGGGCGGCAGCCAATCAGCGTGCTCAGACTCAGATGGGAGAACCAGAGTCGCGTCAGGTGAGCACAGACATGAGCGCTCCCGTCACAGCCGTAAAATGGACGTGGTAGGACCTGGGGCGATGCAGGGGCTGGCCCTGTCTCGCCATGCATGGTCGCAGCGCATGGTCACAGCACGGTGCAGAGGAGGCCGAAGCCGCAGGCTGGCCAGAGCAGTCCTGGCCTGCGCTCTGTGCCAGGGACACGCGCTCAGGGTGCTGAGAGGATGGAGCATGGAAGAAGGACTGTGGTGTGGTCAGGGCTGGGTTCCCCCCACCTCGGGTCCGTGCCCTCGGCACGCACGTCGGCAGCACAGGGACGGCGCCTTCCAGGTGAGGGCCCAGTTCTCTGCGGCGTGCTCCACAGGCATCAGCAGCACAGCGGAGCGGGAGCGCCATTCAGCTCTGCTCCTCCCATGGGGTGTGGTGGGTAAGGCTCTGGATCCCACAGGGCTTGATGCCAAGTCCCAGACCCGGCAGCTTGAGCACACACTGTGCGTGCCTCACACCCCTGGAGGTGCGTGGAAGAGGAGGACTGCAGTGTCCTCGCCCCGGGCAATTCCTCCCGCTCTGTCTCTGTCTCTCTCCAGTGAATAGTTGTGGCCCATGGAAAAACAAAACCTTTGCTTTAAAATGCCTTGTGCTGAGGTGGGCACATGCTGATGCGGCTGCTCTGAAAGTCTAGTTTACCCCCTGAAGTGGGACCTGGTCACCTGCAGGACCTAGCGCCCCTCCAGAGTCACTGCCTTGTGCGCTGCAGGCGGCCCCGGCCGCGTAGATCCTGTTCCTCGGCGAGCCTGCAGGTGTAGGCGGCGGACCCAGCACAGCATCGAGAATGAACGCGCAGTCATGTGGTGGGTCTGCCAGGTGGGTGCAGCCGTGCGCCAGGAAACACCGCAGTGTGGTGAGCGCCACCTTCTGAACACGTGCTCGAGACAGGCAGAGCTCGTCCGTGGCTTCAGAGGCTAAGGTGGTGATCATTTCTGGTCAAAAAAAGCAGGTGGTGGCAGGGAGGACAGAGCCTACGGCGAGGTGAGGCAGGCCCACACACCCTCCCCAGCGCTTCCTTACCTTATCGGCATCGTGAGTGCGGGCGAGGGGCAGTGTCCACGGGCCTGCTCATGTGTGACGGTCTCTCCACAGCCTCCTGCCTGCAGGAGCTGGGGCACTGGTGCATGTGCCTGGCGTGTTTCAGGTGACCAGGACAGGGGTTCGGATTATGGTCATGAGTGGGCCCCCATGCCACCCAGCCGGCAGGGAACTCGCAGGCTTAGTGGGGCCATGCAGCAGTCGGAACTGTCTGGGCCAGCAGGTGGCGCAGCAGCTACGGCACTGGGGTCTCACGTGGCCAGCCGCAGTTCAAGCCCCAGACCTGGTGGCTTGAAACTCATGCCTTGTGCGTGCATGCCCAAGATCCCAAGAGCAGAGTGGGGGACAGGGGTTGCGGCATGGCCATCTCCCCTGGGGTGATGTCTTGTTTTCTGTCTCTGGTGAGCACACACACCCTATAGCAAGAAGCTAAAGGAAAAGAAAACAATCATGACTATCGACCAAGTATGTGGGACTCGTATGAAGAAAACCATGGAATGGTACCAAGTAGCTTAAAAGGAAACCTGAAACAAACAGCCCGTTTCTGTTCCTAGGTGGGAGGACTTGCCATCTCGCAGCCTGTGGGTCAGTTTGTGCGAGCGCGTGTGCGTGCATGTGTGTGTGTGCAGCTGAACAACACACAGCCCTCCTCATCTTGCCTCTGTTTTCCTCAGGCCTTGCGGCCTGCCTCTTTGACCTCGTAGGCTCCCAGCACTGCCTGCACCACGAGTCTCACAGGGCGTGTCTCTGGCTTCCCCCGGTGGGCAATGTTCCTGGCAGGCACATGGGGTTAGCAAGTGTGGGGGTTAGGCGTGGGGTTAGCAGGCGTGGGGGTTAGCAGGCGTGGGGGTTATGCGGCGGGGGCGTTAGCAGGCGTGGGGGTTAGCAGGCGTGGGGGTTAGCAGGCGTGGGGGTTAGCAGGCGTGGGGGTTAGCAGGCGTGGGGGTTAGCAGGCGTGGGGGTTAGCTGGCGTGGGGGTTAGCAGGCGTGGGGGTTAGCAGGCGTGGGGGTTAGCTGGCGTGGGGGTTAGCAGGCGTGGGGGTTAGCAGGCGTGGGGGTTAGCAGGCGTGAGGTTAGCTGGCGTGGGGGTTAGCAGGCGTGGGGGTTAGCAGGCGTGGTGATCGGCCCGGTCTTAGCCCCTCGCTAGCACTCGTCCTCACTGGTTGCCGGTAAAGGTAGAGCTGCTGGATTTGGTAAGTAGCTCTGTACATTTAAGACACTGATGGAAACTTTGCATTTTCTTTGTAGGGTATGGCGGTACCAGGAGGCGGTAGAGGTGAGGCGAAACCCGCTTTCTCGTCCTGGCTGTAGACAGTGCTACCTGCTAACAGTGAGGCAGGGCCTCAAAGCTAGGGTGTTTGGTCCCAAGTGACTTTGCAGTCTGTTTTCTGAGGCTGAGACTGGACAGGTGACTGACAGCTGCCGTGTGGCGTGCAGTGGGGCAAGCAGACGCACGTGGCCGGCTGGAAAGGGCATGCATGCCGGGATTCCGTAATCCCGAATCCTGCGAGGCACAGGAAGCCAAGAAGGGGGTGCGGCCATGAGCCTGGGTGCTTGTAGCTGAGGGACCCGGAGACGTGATGCCCTGTGCTGTCCCGATGCTCCAGCCAGCTCTGGGCTGGTGTGGGTGGTGTGGCTTGCAGGGAGGCAGGGAGCGCCCTCTGGAAGGCGGTCAAGGGACTGGAGAGACTGCCTGAGGGCTGAGGGGGAAGTTCAGATGCTCCAACTTTTTTCCTTTTAGTAACAAAAGCTTGCAGCTGTCCGTGGGATCTCACATGTTACTGTTGCAGTCTGTTTCAGAAATAAACACGCAAATCTTTCTCTTTCTCTTCGCTCCACAGGCATTGGTGTGCTTGTTTTACTTTTCCCAAGTGAAAGGTGCTGGTGCCCAGGCCCTGCTCCCTGCTGGCAGTGGCTGCTCAGGTGCAAAGCATCTGCAGCATGTTTTCAAAGTGATTCACGGGACCAGCAGTTGGTGTAATGGCTATGTCGCTGGACTCCCATAGTCGACCACGGTTTGAGTCCCGGACCCAGTGACTTAAACTCATGCTGGGCGCGTGTGCGGGTGTGCCCAAGATCCTGAGAGGAGAATGGAGGAGAAGGGACTGGGTGTGGCCATCCCCCCTGGGGGGGGTGATTTCTGGCTTTCTTTCTCTCTGTCTCTGTCTTTCTGGTGAGTGAGCGCACATGCCCTATAGCAAAAACTTCTCTCAAAAAAAAGCCCTGGGTCTTGGCATGTGGTCTTGTTTGGGAAAAGGGTCACTGGGGTGAAATTGGTTAAATTAAGATAACTTAGGGGCCGGCAGATGGCGTAAGGACGATGTTGCTGGACTCCCACGTAGTCGACAGTGGCCAGAGTCCAGCCTGGGAGCTTGCAGGGCAGGGCCACGTTTCTCTCTCTGCCGCCGTGTGGTCTCCGAGCGCTGGCAGTCTTTCCTGTCACTAGAGGGCAGTGATGTCCCACTGCATGAAGTAGGCAATGCCTCTTGGACGGAGAATCACTGCCCTGCATGTGGGAGTGCTGCAGTAGGTCTGTCTCTCTAGCCTCTTGGAACTTGGCGCACACATGCGTGTGCTCTGCATGTTTTCCAGCTGCAGGGGCCAGGGTTTGAACCGCAGTCAGCATGTGGGCCTCACCCTCAATGTGCAGAGCAGACTGAGGCCGGCCTGGCCCACCCCAGTGCTGTGCACCACCTGGCCTGGGGTGACGGGGCCATGCAGACAACACAAGCTGGTCAAGAGGCTGGGAAGAAACGGCAAGACCAGGCCAGCGGTTTACTAACTCTCCTTGTGTCGTTTCACTGGCCTATAGTTCATTTCTCTGCCGTGAGTTTTACTGTTATTACGGTATCTCGCAAGAGTAAGATATACCAACCATTACCATAAAGCCAATTAGTGATCTTGTAGGAATGTGGTTCCCTAATACTGACAAAAAGTTTAAGACTCCCCCACCAGCCTGTTTTTAAGCCGAAATTAACATATAGATTAAGTTAGTATAAACTAAATTAGCATTAGAAGCATATGTAGACTAAGTTAGTTTAAGGTTAGTTTTACTTACATACCCCTTGTTAAAGCTACAGGCCAAAGTTAACTCACACTAGCAAAGTCAGCACATTCACCACATAACAGAGACTCAGAGATAAAACAAAAGAACTCACTAATTGACAAGACTCAACAAACAAAATGCAGGAACCCACAGATTTATTAGAGGAAAAAGCCTGGATGGGACAACAGAATAAACAAAGCTGAGGGCTCCACAGAAAGATTAACCATTTTAGCTGGGAGTTCTTATCTAAAGCAACAGGTAGCTTTCAACTACAAAGAGTTTCTCATCTATGTGCTGTTGACTATGAAAAACTGCTAATAAAACATCCTGTGTTGTCTCCGGAGCTACAAGATCATCTTCCTTTCCCATATAAGATCATAGACTCACCCTCTATTGTTGTAATGTATAGATAGTCCATATATTAACTGTGTCTTTACTTAGCAAGACAAGATTTCCATCTAGGTCATTGTAACCAGCAACGTTATCGCCCTGGCCCGGGACTGAAGTTGTCAAACATCCTGCAAGCCCCCTCTTCAAAAGACTCTTCCCAGTAATCAAGATCCAAGAAGAAGATACAGCAGACAAATGGACTTCCTCATCCTGAGAACTGTGATTGACTTTACCTGAGCTAACAAGACAAACAGCATGTTTTATAATTATTGCTTCCATGCTTTGTATACCCTGTTCCTTAGAGTAAATCTTTTACTGCCCCTCACCCATTTACTTGCATGTATCACATTTTCAATAAAAAGGCACGATGATTCCTAGCAATTGTCACTCCTCAGAGAGCGATCTTTGAGGGGTGTCCGGCATAGGACGTGCATGAGAAAGCATCGAGGCCTCTGTCTTCTATTCACCTTCGCTGCCTCCGTCGAGATAACCCACCCACACCGAGGCTGGTCCCCGGCACTGGGGGGTTGGCAAGACTGGGACCTGACTCCGATTCCGGGGGAGCGACCCGTTGTGGGCCCCAGGAGAGGCTGCAAGGCCTGCTCGTCTTCCAGATGGGGCCACCTCTCTTGCACCCGCACCTCACTGGCGAGGCGTCCCCATGATCTGTCACCATCACCCCGGCCCAGTTCACACAGCAGCGTTTCAGCGTGCACGGTTTCTGACACGGGGAAGAGCAGAACAGCGCCAGTATTTACGTCCCTGCCGTCTGGACCCGTGGGGGCAAACGTCCGCTCTGGTAGGTTCTGGGTGTTAGTGGTTAGAAAAGGTTTATTCACCTTCTGCAGGGAAAGGTCCAGAAGGTTTAGGAGGGTGCTGAAGCTGCTGCCAGGCGGCCTCCCCAGCCTCGGGCGGTCAGCCATCTGGGACAGGCCCGCAGGCTCTTCCCTCCTGTGAGGATCGCCCTCTGGCCCAGGTAGTTCTCTTGGGTTTTGTGAAGAAATGGAACGGCCAAGCTCAGGCGGCCCCACATGCCCTCCCGTCTCTGGACAGAGATCGGTACATGGCCATGTCCTCGGGGCTAGGTACTGCAGACCGAGCGCTCATGGGTGGCCACCGCTTCACGCCTTGCGGTCCAGCTGCCCACAATGCCTGCCGTGAGCCGGCACTGCCCACCTGCCCCGATGACGGAGGGATGCCTGCACGCAGGGCCACCGTGGCGACCGTCACCCCTCACCACCTGGCACTGCTCGTCCCTGTGTGACTCGGAGTGGCACCCTACCGAGAATAAGTCCCCGGCTCCTCCGCTCCCTTCTGCCACGTGGACTGTCGTCCGTCTCCAGCTTTTACAGGAAGCGGTATTGGCGTCCTCAGGCCTGGTGAGTGGGCACCACAGAACACCAGGCCTGAAATGCACACAAAGGCCAACTGACTTTAGCAGTTAATTTCAGATACAGACGAGAACGGAGGGCACGCGTGAGCACGTGACTCAAGTCAAGGAAGAGGCCGACTGCGGGGACGTCCTCAGAAGCTGTCCTCGCCGGCTGCGTCCCGACTCCCGCCAGGAGCCTTGTGCTAAGGTCCTTGCCCGCAGCGTCTGGTCCTCCCAGTGAGCTTGCCTCTGCAGCCCGCGTTTCCTGCCCGTGCCCCTTTGCAGGACAGTGGTGTCCAGGGACCCAGGAGCCCAGGTCGGCTCACCGCACCAGTGGGCGCCGCCTCCCACGGGAACCCAGCCACATTCATAGGATGGCTTTGACGCCGCAGCTACGGCCTTCAGCAGAGCACGTCTCCCTGGAAGGCCCTTCCTCACATCCTCAGAAGCCTTGGACTGCCCTGGCCCTGGTCATTGAAGATGGGCAGAGAGGAAGAGTGAGAAGTCACCCTCCACGGGGACGGTCATGCTGCATTCCCTTCTCTAGTCTCTTCTCGGGATTTCAGGCGCACATGCACGTGCCCTGGTGTGGTTTTCAAGCTGCCGGGCTGAGGACGCGAACCAGAGTGCCGCTGCTGTTGGCAGTGTCCTGTGCTGATGCCCAGACAGGAAGCAGCCCTGGCTTGGCTGGAAGGGGCCTTGCGGTGGCTGCTCCCTGGCTCTGTGGGGCACTGCCCTGGAGGGAGGTCTGGCTGGAGACGGGGTGCAGGCCTGATGCACCCCACGTCAGACCTGCCGGCTGTGCTGCAGAGGCTCTGGTGGCTCCGCAGTGTTTCCGCTGGACCCGATGCTGCTGTCCCCTGGCTGGCCTTGGGCCTCAGTGCCCTGGTGCCTAGGCTGGCAGCAGCGGGCCCAGCTCCCCTCCCTCCCAGGCCTCCTGTCACTCAGCAGGATTCATTCAGTGTTTGGCAAGGCAGGGAGGTAGATCCCTGGGGAAGTGGGGTGTCCACCGCAGGGAAGGGGCTGGAGCTGGGCATTGTCTCCACCTCCTGTGGCCGCCCACTGGAACCCGGGCCAGGTCTCCCTCACGTGAGGCAGGACAGGCAGGGTCACAGCAGTCACACAGGCTACCCCTCTCACTTGTGCTTTTTAAAGAAGTGATTTCCAGGGAACCAGCAGTTAGCGTAATGGCTATGTCGCTGAACTCCCACGTAGTCGACGCGGTTTGCGTCCCGGACCCGGGGGCCTTA